TGGAGCATTAGTACTAGGAAATAGCTGTGTAGATTTTTTTTTTTTTTTTTGGCCTGGCTGATAGGAAGGTTCATTTTCCTTCAATTATTGGAAATTTCCATAGATATAATTTGTTTTTACTTTTAGTAACTCTCCCCTTCCCCTCTACCTTAACCACTTATTTTGTCTTTTATTTTGGCCACATTAAGCACTTATGTTTAATAAATTAAATAATTACAGTTTTAGAATAATTAATAGAATAGCCAACCATGCATGGACCAATGAATTTTTTTTCAGTGTGTTAAACCATAGTAATCCAATAAAGGTGAAATACAAAAATATTTTCTGGAAGTGGGTAAAGGTAATATTTTCATTGATTCATAATATATTTAGCCCTATGCTAATGGCTACAGTAAGTCAAAAGTGGTAGATACAGTTTTAGGGAATCTAATTTTATTAGTTGTCAAGTCTTGCCAACAACCATGTTTACTGGCTTCCATTTACTAGGTGCCAGTCATGTTCCAGTTGCCTTCTATATCATTTCTTATTTAATCCCCACCCCTTTTAGTAGGCCTGGTTTCCTATTAAATTGATACTTAGATAATTCTAAATCTCAGCGAGGTTTGAAAATTCTCATCCAGGATAAAAGGAACAGGTATAACTGTGTGCAGATCAGATATATTCCTTACACATCATATGCCAAGTGAAGCCCTGGCATGTGTCTGAATAGGGAGGAAAGGGGCCTGGGGAAGGTGAGGGGTATGATGTCAGCTATCTGAACTACCTGCAGCATGGGAACCACAGATGGGGACATTTACTTCTAGAAGAAACCTCATAATGGAGATGGTGCCTTGAACACGTCACCTGAAAGGGGAGGATATTCAAGAGGGGAGCCCATGAAGGATGGGAGTAGCAACCTCCCACCGGGAGTACAGAGCCCATTTCTCTAGGCCAGGTAACATCTGAAATGTCATCTCCTCTCTGAAGCTTTGCCTCTCTCCTTTACCCTCTGGCCTCTTGAGGCTTACAGCTCAGTTCTATCTATTATGTCCCTACAGTAGTAGATGGCAGTTATTTGGGTTTTCCTTCACTAGAAGACTGACATCTTTGAAGGAGCCAGTTGGCTTCTTTATCATTAGACCTCCAGAGGGAAGTAAGGTGTCCTACACACAGTAGGTGCTCAATAAAATTTTGTTGGCCAAATCAATAAGCTAATGATGTATACCCTACTCTCTTGAGTCCAAAGAAACAGATCACTGCTGTTAGCAACTACTAAAAACTCCAAACTATGTGACATAGGACCTCTTTAGATGACAATAAATATGAAATAAAGTGACTGACATTTTTTTTTCCCTTGTGATAAAGTTATCCATATTTTTTTCTTTTGGTTTGTGAGTGCTTGGATTATAAATCATTTAGCTCTGAAATGAAAGCTCTATAAATAAATTGGTTCTAGTGGGTTAGTCATAGAGCGGGTGGTATATTTTCCAGTCAAAACCATAATTCTAACGAGCCGTCCTGGTGATGAATGGAGTTATCTTGTCACTTTGTCCTTAATGCAATGAGCGGTGGTAGTTGGAGGGTGAGAGTCCTGTTCTCATATTAGAAGCCAAACTTTTACATGTGCCCAGCCAGGTAAAGCTTTAGAATGTTTTATTTAACAAGTTAAGCCTGAGGTCATGCTCTAGACAGTTGTAACTGAGTGTTGCAGAGAGAAGGGAATTTCTACATTTCCTTTGCAAAAGCAAAGTGCAAATAAGCATGTTGATGGTTACTCATTTATCCCCTTTTTTCTTCCTTCCCAAAGCATCTCAGCAGTTTTCTGTTGAGCTGATTTATGATATCAGTACCAAGCTGGAGATTACAAAGAGCAGTATTTGAGAAGATAATCTGAAGTTTGGATAGTGAACAATCAATTATATCTATTTACACTTAAGATATCACAACAGGATCCTCATTTCTAGATAGGAACAAGTTCAGACAAAAAGGTTTTTTTTTTTTTTTTTTAATGGACTGATACCGTCTCGGGTCTTAACAGACTATATTTACCCACCACCTGCTACGCCCCAGAGAATTTGGTAGGCTACATTCTCTTAGTGCCTCATGCTGTAGACAGACATGACAGGGTCATTTCCAAATACAGTCTCCTCTACACTGTTGAGGACTCGGCTGCCAGTTTCCATTCACCTGATGTGTAGCTTTTAAGATGTCAGCAGGACAATTTGACCCCACTTCTGCTAGAGCTTTCACCTGGCCTTCTCACTGACAACACAAAGGGCCTGTGCTCAGTCAGCTGCAGAGTAGGCTGCAGTCTCCAGACCCCCTAGTTATGGTTAGAACTGCTGCCAAATTGTAGACCAAGCATTGTGGGATGGGAGATGGAGTAGTTTTATCCACTACACCAAATCACAGCTTGTGCCCTAGACGGAATCTCAAGACTGTCTAGGCCCAGACTTTGATTTCACAGATAAGGCACTGGTGGCCTGGACAATTGTCCAGTTGTCCAAGTTCCCACAGGGACAGAAATAAGGCCAGGCTGAGTGTCCTAAATTGCAAATCAGTATATTTCCTTTGTGGAATGTGTACTATGAATGTACATTATATCATAAAGTAACATATCACTCATTAGTAATGATGCTTTTTAATTAAAATACTAGAAGTACTATTTCAATAATCACATGACCTAAAGCAGTGCTCTTCAAATCTTGGTGTGTATAAAGGTCACCTGGAGGACTTGTTGAACCAAGTTGCTGGCCTGCTACTCATTGAGGGATGGAAGCTGTGAATTTGCATTTGAAGGAGTTACCAAGTGATGCTAATACTAGAGCTGTTGGTCTGGGGACTGCACTTTGGGTATAGGGGTCTGAAGCTCATGCTAATTCCTGCTATTCCTCATGTCCACCTATGCACTGAATACCAATTGAGTTACATGGTTAGCTCCCCAGCAGGAAGAGTTATCAGTGAAGGTTTTTTTGAACTCAAGAGTGCACTTTTCAATGGATGTCTGTTATATTCTGGTACGGGATGAAGAGTTTGACTTGAGTCAGATCCCCTAGGTACTTGGCTCAGGGCTCTGATATGCTGCATGATCTTAAGTCATTTTACACTTAAGCTTCAGTTTTCTCACCTGTAGAATGAGGAAAATGTCTTCTAACTTGTATAATTGTGAAAAGATTGAATCGGTAAGGGATAAGAGAATTTTAATGGATAATGATCAGAAACCAGTCAGGAGAACAGAAATTATAGCCATATTCTACTTGATATTGTTTCAATCAACTATGGATCACATGCATAATGTGGGCCCACAGGATAACAGGGGAGCTGAAAACTTTCTGCTGCCTGTTGACATTAAACCCAGCACATTAGCCACTTGATGCTGGTGTAAACCTACTGTGATGTCAGTTATATAAAAATATAGCAATTATGTATGTGAAACTGATAATAAATAACTGCTACTGATTCATATAGTTACTATACATAACCTTATAACCTTTTTATGGTTAAAGATTATTCCTGCTTATAAAAGTTTACTATGTAACAGGATGTCATGTCATACAAGCAGTACCCTCCTGTACCTTATGTTCACTGCACCGCTTGACTGCATTGCTTGGCTTGATTGAATTTCATGTTTTGTTCATCATGGCTCAAGTGTGCTGTATCACACATAGGCACCCTGTAGCCTAGGCATGTAGTAGGCTTTGCATCTATCTCCACAATGTTCTCCCAAAGACAAAAATCACCTTTCTCCTGTCATTAAGTGATGCATGATTATACTCTAAATCTTACAGAGAACATTAAATAAAGAGAACTACTCAGAGGACAGAAACATTCAGAAACCAAATGGATGGTGAGGTAAACCAGAGCTTTAGCAACAGCATAGAGCTGGGACCACTGCTTGAGTGAGCAAAGACAGGTGGAGACAAGGTTGCCAGAACCTCATCTGAGATCTGGGATATAGAGGATTGCTCAAATTGGAAAGAGGGTCTATCCAGCTGGAACTGTCACCATGGAGGAGACTCACTTCCTAGAAACTAGAAGGCAAAATATCTGAGGAATATAGCGCTGTGCTACCACACAGAACAGGGGAAAGGCAAGAAGAGTCTCAGCTGCTGCCATGTTTAACCAATGCTAGTCATCGTTGCCACAACAGTAATTATTTGTGTGCCCCCACCTCTGTTCCTAGACCATTTCTCCTACACATCAAGGATCCTCCCTGTGCCTATATGTAGAGAGAATGTCATCTATGAACAAGATAGCATGGTCGTAAGTTCTGTCAACAGGAAAAAACAAAGGTAACAGTTGTTTCTTGACCAAGTGATAGTGTAAAACCTGCATTTATAGTATAGCTTAGATAATTTATACCACTGTCACACCACCGTGTACTATCCTTGCACTGTGTTCAAAATATGCAAACTATACAAGAGACAAAACCAGAGATCATCAAAATCCAGTTACTAGAAGATTATTGTCAAGGTTTGGGGATGAATGGTGGAGGGGAAGGGTACAGGAATAGAGCATTCTTGGTTTTTTTTTTTTTTTTTTTTTTTTTTGGTAGCAAGAACCTACCTTGAAATGACAAATACAAGCATTTCTTTTCCTCATTAAGAATATAGTGAAATTGCCAGGTGCAGTAACCCCTGTAACCTCAGCGGCTCAGGAGGCTGAGCAGCAGGATCATGAGTTCAAAGCTAGCCTCAGCAACTTAACTAAGCCCTAAGCAACTCAGCAGACTCTGTCTCTAAATAAAGTATAAAAAAGGCTGGGGATATGCCTCAGTGGTAAAGTGCCCCTGGGTTCAATCCCTGGTTAAAAAAAAAAAAAAAAAAGTGAAATCATGGAAATAACATTGAGAACATTCATGTGGCTGTTCAGTTTCTTCACTTTATAAAAATGAGATAATGTGATGATGAAATAAAAGGGGTAGGTAGAAATCAATGAAAACTAAAACATTTATAAATCGAGAAGAGAGTGAGCTGTTTGGGGATATTTCTTAGGTGACAACTGAAATTTCAAACCCAAACTTAAGTTTCAAAACAACCTTTATTCTGTTGAAGACCTAATACAATGCATCAAAGCAACTTAAAACAAGACATAGCTCCACTGAATCTATAACTTGAACAAAATGTCAAGGAGGCACACTCCCCCCCACCCACCCACCCTAGGTGCCTTGTAAAGGCAAAATTACAACTGACCATGACATCCTCCCTCTCGTCAAAAGACCAACTTTATTTTAACAATGTCATATAAACAGATTTGTAAAAACATCGAACAGATTGTAGCTTTAAAAAATACACACATATAAATGAGATTTTTTTGTTTTGCTTTTTTTTTTTTTTTCCTCTTTTAAATAGCAGCATCCTGGGCAGCTAATGCTATCTCATGGTGACAAGTTTAATGTTAAGTTGGATAGTCTTTCCAATTAATCCAATTCCATTCCCTCCCCACTCATCATACTAGTATGTTATATAACTAGATTTTTAAAAAATAATAATTTGGCATTTTGGAACTTTGTCCCATGTGAGGCATTGTGCTTTAAACTGCCCCTTCCTTAAATGACCCTAAATTCAAACAGATAGCAGAGTCTGCCTTCCAACTGACTTGGATACCATGCATAGCAAAAGCAGTTGTTAAAACCGGCAGAACTTTTTTCCCCAATAAGGAACATCAGTAGGACTTCCCAAACACATTACTAGTTCATAACCAGCTATATGACAAAGTAATTCGTTCCCCACAGTGACAGCTCACATAAACACACTTTGACTTGACACACTGAAAATAAGGATTTCCAAGATAAGTCATCTAGACCTGCTCCCTAAAAGGAGTAACTTCTAAAAACAAAAGAGCCAAAGAATTATGAACTTCTCACTTCACTTGCCAACAATTTTCACCTTTTATAAGACAAAACAAAGCAACCTCAAAGGAAAAAACAACCCATACACATATACAAGAACTGCACTAGACATTTGCTTGTTATGTACTTGAACTCAATGACTGTGGATCTGTCTTGGCTGAAAGGTGTACTGGAAACAGTCCATGCACATATACATATATACATATACCCAGGGCCGTGACATTGTCAAATGTTGCCAATACATGCCTTTTGCCTTTTCACATGGTTATGATCACTCTTGTATGGAGTATGAGGTCCCACTGCTCCCACTTCTATAGCCTTTTCACAGCTCTCTGCAGCCTAGTTTCTGGCTTTGACTTTAGGATGCTACATTGGGTGGGAAAAAAATGAATGCATGGATAAAATCACATAGCAGGAGTGGTTCTGCTGTCTCCCTTCATAGTCATGAGCCAGAAAACATTAGGAGATGACTGAACCCACAGAGCACTGATGGTCAAATATCCACAAGGACAAATTTGGTGTGCATGCCACCTTAGGTCAAAAAAGCATTTGACAGAATAGGTCTGATGTAATTCGCTGCCACACAGAACACCGAATCCTGTCTTCTGTTCAAAGAAAAATCTATTGCACTTCTGCTTGTGAGACACAAAAATGAGGCAACTGTCTAAATAGCATGTTGTTTTGCAGAATGTTGAAGCAAAAACACTGTAGCTTTTAATGAAACATCCGACCTCAGATGTATTTTAGTAATTAAACAAAAGTTATTTGTATTTAATAGCATATATGATGTGCTATCAAAAAACAAACAAACAAAAAAAAAAACCAAAAAACACCAAAACCCCACAAGTCTAGTTTATCAACTACTTGTAACTAACAAACTTCTATGCGATGCGGCAGGATATCACCACTGGAAGTTTTAAAGCAAAGACGGACTAAAACCAGGAGATCATAAATTGTCTGGCAATGAGAGGGAGATGGTCAGATCAGAAGAGTCAAGTCTGAGGGCGGCAGTCTGACCAAAGATAAGACTTTTGCTCTCGAGTAATGAGTAGCTTCATAAAAAGAAGAAAAATAATACATTCTACAGAGATTAACTCAGGTGCTAGACTGATTCTTCCAAACGATTTTTTTAAAGGAACATTAAAACAAAACACCCTCACCTTAGTATTTTAAGAAAAGAGAAATAAAGCTGTGGGTGAATCTAATATTGAGAAAGGGAAACTGAAACTGTAAGATTCCATTTTAATCCAACAGGGTAGTGACCATGATCATCATCAGCCTTCGCCCCTTCCACCATGGGTACAATTCCTGCTGAACAGTAACAGCTTTTGCATATGTAAATCAGGGAGGGAGACTCTCATCCTCACCCTAAATTGGAAAGATGTCACCACAAAATTTTTCCTTTCCCCACCCTCAAGTACAACACACAATTATTGGGATGAATGACAAGGACTGTCATCTGGATTCCTGCAATGACCACCACGACTTGAACGAGCTTGAAGAAACTCCACACAGCCCAGAGCAGCAACCAGATGCCTGTGTCTACTTGCTTTATGTTCTAAATTGAATAGATAGCTAGGAAAATAACAAGTATCCAATTAAAATGATTTTCTCAGGTCATGCTTTTTCTAAAATGAACATTTGTTGGTTGTCACAACTAATGTTAAAAAGAGAGGGGAAAAAAATACATTTTCTAAATGCACAGATTATACCTTGAAACCAGTGTGCTAAACCAAGGAGGGTGGGGAGCATTGTTCCAGGAAACCCAAAATGAACTCTCAGCACTTTTTCCATCAGAACTGAAATACCTGACCAGCTGCACTGGGTTAGAGTTACAGTAGGTGTGTAATTATCATTAATTGAGAACAACTATCAAGTCAAAGTGGGAAAAGACTGAAGCAGAAGCAACTTCACTTTGCAGTTATTCGCCACTTGTCTGAATTGTGAGAAAGTGCATACCACCCCTCCCACCACCCTGCCTGTTACAGCCCCTGGCTATTCCTCCCCCCAATCCCCAGATTCAAGAAGTTCACAATTCATTATAAAACAAACATTGCCAGGTACCGTATTTTAAATCTTATAACAACATTGTTGGACTCAGTGATACTTTGTCATATTCATACATCTTTTTCTTTTCTTTTTTATTGAATAAAGCAGCTTTGAAGCTTATCAGGCACTGCCCAACAAAACACTTAGTCCAAAAAAAAAAAAAAAAAAAAAAATCTGTTATGAACTTTTTAACCTTGGGCTAACAGCCAAGTACTCTGTACAAGAAAAACTGTAAAATTATTTCATAGTTTTAATTCTGAAGCCATTATTTTAAAACTGGCATTGTGTACATTTCTTCTTTAAAAAAAGGATAAGAATAACAAAAGGAATATTAACAAAAATCAGACAACAATATTTTCAAGCAACAAAAACTGGGAAGGGGAAAGCTTATTCTGAAGGTATATTTTTAAACTGATAACAACTTAATGAAAATTAAGAATTGCATAGCGCTGTGCATTTAGCCTTCAGCAAAACAAAAAAGAAGCTATTTGGTTTTGATACAAATCCATCTATTTGATAGTTAGTCATCCGATATTATGTACATATTTTATATACTTAATGTCATTTTAACTCCTGTTTTCCACGCTCCATTTTTCTGTTGGTAGGTTGTTTTTATCTTGACAAGTTTAAACAAAACATTTTACGGCACTTTGCTACAACAGATTTCCCCTTGAACATACATGAACCGATGTTCTCCCAAGGTGCCCCTCGTGAGCAAAGTGCCTTTCTGCTACATATCGTTCGGTTGTTAAGAAATGAAATAATCCACAGTGCAATGCGTCTGGGTCCACTGTGCACAGCGACACCCAGGCTAAACCAGGCTGGACCCAGCATTCTCTGGTGTGGGCTCCTCAGCCCTATTTACCTTCTGGTCTCCAAAGTCCCAACTTATAGCTGGTAAAGCTTCAGAAAGCATTAACAAGCACCATGGTTAAAGGCCTCTTTGTCCCTGCACGCAGAGATTTTTGCATTTCTTTTTCTCTTTGTGTTGTGTTTGTGGCTTTAAATTAAACCAAAAAAAAAAAAAAAAAAAAAAAGATAATAAGACTGGATTAGAAAGATCTGATCATCCTGTAGCTCTAGGCTGCGAGTGTTCCCCTACTTCTTTTTTGTCCAAGAAAGCTCTAGTCCCATCTGAAGACTGACAACTTCCTTTCTGCAGCTCAATTCACAGGTCAGGCTGGAGAGGAGCCCTTTGCTTTCCAGAGGCCTCAGGGTGGCTGAACATCAGGAACAGGATCAGAGGGTAGCGCTTCATCGCCTCTGCTGTGCATATACCGGGTATGCTAGTGTGACGTTGAGGGAGTCGTTGTGCTGCACAAGGGAGGTGTGTTGGTAATGTAGCACCAGTTCCTTCAGGGAGCTGTACAGGTTATAAGGCTCCGCAAAGCCGTAGCCAGTGGCCGTTTTGTTGATGACACAATGCTTGACTTCACCGTCCACCCTGGAGAGGAGACAAAACAACTGCCTTTTGAGTTTGCCCAGGACAATTCACAGCTCTATAGGGCATCTTTAATAAGGTTATCATGGTGAAAGAGCATATTACATGGGCTGGTGAAACAATTCAGGGTGCTGTCACTTATTTACTGGCTGAGGGTCTTGAGTAGGGCCAAGCTCTGGGGCCAGCTTCATCTTTAAAATGGTTGAACAGGAGGACAAGAGTAACACGTATGTAAGAGGCTGAGGTGGTGCATGCGAGGCGCTTGACAGAATGTCCAGCATGTGGTAAGCAGGCAGCGAAGAGAAGAGCCGTTCCCAACCATTGTGACAATGAGTGCAGCCCATTGACAGCAACACTCTCTCCCTCCAGTCACAACTGATAACAGGATTCCCTCTTTCAGCCCTCCTCAAAAGGTCTACACAACTCTCCACCTCTGCGTCTACACTGTGTTCTCCCGTTCTCCTACTCAAAGTTCTGTCTTTCCTGGGAGGAAGAGTAGTTCTGCAGTAAATGGAGGTCAGCCTTGGAGTACAAGGTATTTACAACTTTTCCCTATTAGAGGACGTTTATGTCTCTGACATGGTGATGCAAATGGTGACGCCAGTGACCCAAACTCACTCTTCAAAAGACTGTACACAATAGTAAGAAGTAAGTGGGGAAAAACAAAAGAAAATCAGGCCATGTGACAGAACTAGGTCTCAAAGCCAGACAGGGAAGGGGTCTTTCCTCTTGTGGCTCTGATTTGTAGATATTTTATCTATAGGAGGTGTTCTTATGTGAATTACCTCAGATTCTTCCTCTATTAGCCTTCAGAGGCAAAAACAAACAAACAAAATAAACAAAGAAACCATGGGGCAGGCATTGCTACTTCCATTTTAAAGATGAGAAAAGACTTAAAGACGTCTCATGATTCATTTGTTGCCAAATTGGAAACCAAACTCCAATCTTATAAATAAAGGGCAGGTTTCTTTGGTAGATCTTTTTTCTTGGTGGGAGTGGGTACTAGGGATTGAACCCAGGGGTGCTTTACCACTGAGCTACATCCCCAGCCCCTTTTAAAAACTGGTTTGAGACAGGATCTCACTAATTTGCTAAAGCTGGCCTCAAACTTGTGATCCTCCTGCCTTAGCCTCCTGAATTGCTGGGATTACTGGCATGTATCACCAAACCTGCTATGAGAACTTCTTAATAGACATAATATCCAAGTCTAACTAGAAGTGTCTATTTTATTTCCTCTTCTGCATTACTATACTATAAGATTCAAAGCTAGAACTTTTTCAAATCCTTACCCTTAATGAATAAATGAAACATAAAAACTAGTTTGCCAGAGATACATACACTACGGAGCAGGCGTAGCAGCCTTGCTTACTGCTCTCCCGGACAAGAAAAGTGCCATCTCGTTTCCCTCGCAATAGGTTTTCAGCTTTGTTTCGGTTGCTGCTTCCAACATTCCATGTCTTCTCATCATGGTGGGGTAAATCCTCATCGTCTTCCACCAGAGAATATTGGCTACATAGACGAGAGAGAAGGTTTCTGAATAAAAAGTGCAGGAACCCCCAGCATGCCTCACTTTCTCCCCGACTCCAACCAACAAAGTCGGAACAGCCATCAGACAGTTAGATCAACCCTGCTTTTCTGACCCGAGTTTTCTTATTAATGTTTAGCCTCCAATGCCACTCCACAGGACAGAGTTAGCAATAAATACTATCTCTGTCTCCAAGTCAGCAACCACACGGAGGTACCGAGGCAGAGGGAAAACTATTAAATTATCCTGTTTATCCAGTTTAGATTGGGAAATTAATTAAATAGGAGGACTGCCAGTTTTCAAATAATTCAAACCAAACATACACTTAACCTTCAAAATATACTAAACATAATTTTTTTTTCATTGAAGCTTCCAAAAATATTTTGGGATTTTTTAGATGTTCAGGGACATCATTATGGACACAGGGTCATTTTACACAACTATGAGTAAAAATAAATCCAAGTCCTCCTTAGCTAAACTTTCCTTTTTTTAAAATTCCAGATAATGACACGGAGTTTATAATTTTCTCCTATGAGATGTTCCAAACTCAGTAACTAACTCCTCACTTGTTATGAAAACAAAATATGTCATGCATCTTCATAAAATGAGGACAACCTTTTGCTCTCTGTCATCTTAGTAACTAGCTACTTACTCTTCAGTATTTTCGTTGCCTAGCCACTCATTTAGCTTCTTTTGCCGTACACCTTTTTGAGTCAGCCACCTGGAAAACAGTTTTGAAAAGAAAATGCATTAATAATTCGTCCTTAACCTTAGCAATCGCCAATCATCCCCTACCAGGGTTTTGTTTCAAATACTTACATCAAGTACTGGTCCCTGGTCTTTCTCAGTTGAATGAGGTCTGGCTTAATGCTGTTCATACGTTTGTCAATCTCACGATACTCAGCTGCCTGCTTCTTCAAGTCTTCCTCCAGCCTTCTTCTACTGTCAATAATTTCACTGATTCGAGACTTTAGCTTATCATAATTATGCATAATCCTATAAGATAAGAGAAATGTTATCTGTATTTACTTGGGTACATCAGGTAAGTTCTCCCAAATTTATGAAAAGTTTCACTATTGTTTCCTGGAAGTTTTCCTCTGATAAAGAATGTCTTCCTATCATTTTAAATTATCCAAAGCACAGAAATTGAGACCATCAGTTTAAGCAGTCTTAAAAGATTTTGGTTATTTCTAGAGAGAAGAGGAAAAAAAAAAAAAAAGTCACAGTTCACCCACCTCTGTATTTCTTTTTCATTGCCTTCACGTTTAAACTTTTCTATGTATTCTTTGCTGTACCGTTCCTGGGTTTGGCACTGTTCTTCAAATATTTTTATGGTTTCATTAAATGCTTCAATAGCTGTTCTTTTCATTTGTATTTCCTGAAACAAAAATTTAAAAAGACAATGTCACATATTTCATAGAACAACCTCTTATTACAAGATAGTATCAGCATTTTTTACCTATATCATCATCATCTAGCTTGGAAGAACAGTTGTCCTGGGGTATCATGGAGGTTGGTTCCAGGAGCTCTCTGAGATACCAAGGTCAGTGGATGCTCATGTCCCTTATATCCCTTATATAAAAACAGTATTCAAAAAGAACTTGTATATATCTCCTCCTATGAAAGCTAAATCATCTCTACACTACATATATATAATGTAAAGTTACATAAATAATTGTTGTATGGTATTGTTTACAGAATAGTGACAAGGAAAAAAAAAAAGCTTGTACACGCATGTTCTGACAGATTCAGTACCCATGGATACATATGGCCAATGGTACTATGTTAGCAGGTTGGGATGTGAATTAAAAAAAAAAAAAAAAAAACACTGATAGAATTTCAGAGACACACATTTCCTTTGAAGAATTTTCCTCAATCTATGGAAAATGATTATAGCTTCCATCTTTTTAAGCCATTTCTGTTATAGTATCCAGGTTGCCTTCTCTCCCAGATGCTTCAGGGCCTATAGAGGCTCTAATCTCTAGAAAAACACTACGGGCAAATTTACCCCATTTCTTTTGACAACAGGGCACATGAATGTGAGACTTCCACATTAAATCAATTTAAACCTCACAGTAACCCCTTCAGTTATCATGTGATCTTAATTTATCATTCTGATAACTATAGGTTTCATTTAATAGGGTTAGAAGTCCTATGCTGGAATAATCAACAATGACTCACAAATAAATGACCTCCCTCCCACTTTAAGCCCCAATCACAGCCTTTCTTATTCTTTTTTTTGAAACTGTCCAGATTTCACAAAAACTCACCTGGGAAGTACGGGTATATTCTTCATATAATCTATCATATTCCCGGCTTTTTTCTTGAAATTGAGTGTTATATTCATGTAATTTTTTCCCCACAGCTTCAATATTATCTTCTTTGACAACTTGATCCTAAAAGGATGGGGGGTTAGAGGGGAAAAAATGAATTTAGTTGGTAAGGTATTTAATCAAATTACTACTGTTTAAAGATTTTTTTTCCATGTTGCCAATTTTGTTAATCTTGCTATTTGATTTAGCAATTTTGTGGCATGTATAAAGTTTTTCAAACATGATTCCATGTAATTTATGTGCTTTAAAATTTTCTATAGATTTGAAAGTATCTTGTCTCCACATTATGATAATATGAGGAATTCAGTTTTGATTACCTGTTGGTATTTGGATACTGGATAAAGTAATTTCACATCCAGTTTGGGATTGTACTGAGCTAGAGATTCATTCCGGTAGTGGTTTATTAGTTCAACCACAGAATTGAAGGTTAATGGGTCAGAGAAGCCATATTTTCCATCTCGGTGAAATATTTTGATTAATTTGTTATTTCCTCCTTTCCTGTAAATACAAAAGAAAAATAACAGTATTAAAATTTCTTAATAAAGAAATATGATTTTATGTCACAAACACCCCAACTGCAGCTGCATTCTGAGACTCACCTTAGTGTAAGAGTATAATCGCCGTGCATTTTAGTAGAGGCATCTCGTACCAAAAAGGTTCCATCTGCTGTATCTCGAAGTTTTTCATTCACTTCTTCCCTGGAATGAACAGAACACAAGACAATGCTTACCTTTTGAATTCAGTAATCATAGGTTTACATTCTTTCTTTTTAACATTTTTTTAGTTGTTGATGGACCTTTATTTAATTTATTTATATGCAGTGCTAAGAATTGAACCCAATGCCTCACACCTACTAGGCAAGTGCTCTACCACTGAGCTTCAGAGTTACAACCCCAAACCCTATATTCTCTCTCTCTTTTTTTAATATATATTTTTAAGTTGTGAATGGAACTTTATTTTACTCATTGATACATGGTGCTGAGAATCTAACCCAGTGCCTCACACATGCTAGGCAAGTGCTCTACCACTGAGCCACAACCCTACCCGCTACATTCTTTCTTAATAGACTTTTTTTGCGGGGTGGCACTGGACATTAAATCAAGGGCCTTGTGCATGCTAGGCAAGTGTTCACTCAGCCCCAATAGACTGTTTTTTAGAGCAGGTTTAGGTTCACAGCAAAACTGGGCATCAAGTACAGACAATTTCCATATTCTAACCCCTTATAGATTTATATTTAGGTGTTATGTTTTTAGAGTTTACTAATTCCATATTTGTTTATAAGGACATATTAATTCCAATGTCATTAAAAATAGGTACATGAGGGCTGGGGGGTGCAACTCACTGGTAAAGCATTTGTCTAGCATTTGCAAGGCCCTGGGTTCGATGCCCAGTACCACACACACACACACACAAAAAAGTATTCACTTTCATATTGGTATATCTATACTACAAAGATTCCACTTATTTTTTCAATCAATGTCCCTGACAAACCAGCACAGAAATTATTCCTAAAAGGCTTTCCTCCTACCACTCTCTACTCTCCAAAAAAAGCTAACTGGGGGGAAAAAAAAAGACATTTTATGTTACTGTGTTTAAGACAATAATATTAATGATCACAGTTCTGCTCAACAGAGAATGCCTCTACATTTTGCCTTGAGGCAGTGCCATGTCACCTTGGTGCTTCCCTGACATCTCTGTCAATAATAAAACTTCCCAGTTATTAATTTCCTGGGGCATTGAGCTCCCACAGTGCTCTAGCGCCCAGGGACTTTTTTGGTCGTCTTTGGAAAAGAACCAACTATACTTCATGCTTATGTTGGAGGATATCCTAAAAATGGAACTTAGCAAGCTGGTGCTTTTCTTTCTCTTCATCTAAAACTCTGTATCGACTGAAAATGAAGAGTTTTGGGCCTTACCTCGAGATCTCTCCCCAGTACCATTCAGCATCCTGTAAGGAAATATTGTTGTTCATACTGTTGTTGGCTGCAGTGGTGGGTTTGGGCGGTTTAGGAGGCAGTGCTGCAAGTGAAAGAGAAAGGAAAAGTTGTTTGCAATTCCAACTCCAACTGAACATTTAAACTTAGACCTATTTTTTTTTCTTCAGATAAACATTTCCATTACAACAAAGAAAAAAAGAAATTGGAAATAGACACCCAGTAATTCACAATTCCATACACGATGAAAGACAGTTAAAAGAAAAATTTTAAGAGTGTGGCTCAAAAGGAAACGAAACTGAAAAGGAGAAGAGGAGACTGACAGGCACAGAGAATCTAGAGATGAACAAATAAATTGGGCTGGCCATGTAAATAAATTTCAGAGTAAACCCAGAGTCATGAAATTTTCTATATTTCTAGATTTTAGCTATATTAAAGTTCTATGCCTGGTCAAATCCATCTAAAGTAAGAAACTATGAACATGAGCAGCAGGAGTAACATGACTTGGCTTTAATTCTTACTTAATTATAAAAGACAAATTTGGTCTCTGTCTTCCACAAATGCTATTGCACTAATAAAAAAGCTCATCTATAGCAGTATGTTTTAAGAGGAGGAATTGTTTTTCTCTAATCTTAGTATTTCAGGCACTGTTCTGCCAAAAGCCACTTTAAGAAACTCATCTGTGACCTAAATCTCCTTAGTATTCACGTTAATATTCTGCTGGATAAATTGTGCTCTATGTGCCAGGTCTGGTTAAAAATCCTATCCCCTTTCTTCAATGTCAAATCAGTATTCATATATGAATTGGTGACAAATAAAAGGCTGCAGTGTTTCTTAATTGGGGGGCTCTAACATTGAAAGAAAACAATTTAGGAAATAAATCTAGGATTTGTAGCTAAATTTAAAGGCATAAGTTTTAAAGCACTGTTATTATTTTAATTTATATAAAAATTATTTCAGATGTTTATCAAGAACATTTTACAAAGACCGGGACTAAATAATGAAAAGCCACCCTTTTATCATATAGTATCTTAATAAGAAAGAGAATAAGCCATCTCTATATCTGACTTAGAATAGTTTCTCAACAGTTTCATTGAGAACTAAGTTGTAATCACTGCCACATTTTACGTGCTTTCTAAAGTACCAAGTGTTATCACTGCAAAGTACCACACTGTTCTCATCCACTGTCAACAGAGAAAAGCAACACAAAGGATGCATCCTTTTAATTAAAGGAACAATATACTCCAACTAGCAAAGGATCACAATTAACAAAAGACACCAGTAAAAAAGTGGAATATAATTCAGATCCATTCAAGTAAGAATCAGCATTTACCCCACACAGCTTGAGCTGCTTCCTTCCCCAGGCAGTCAAACAATCTGTTTAATAATCAAACTAATTTTTATCAATGGAACAAATAAATAAAAATAGCAATCGACAGAGGATCTGTTATGGCAGCTTCCAAAAAATTAAAAAGCCACAAATTTAACTGACTTGCTCCATTAATACTGCAGTATTACCTGGTGGATCCATTTCTATATAAAACATCAAGTCTGTGCCACAGTTTATATCTGTCTTGGCATATTCTAAATCCAGGTCTTCCATATTCCAAACAGTGTTGTACATTTGTGCGAGAGTTTCCTTGGCTGAGCTCAGTTATAAGAAAAGAGTCCGGCTTTCTTTGTAATGGTGTCTTGGAATTCATTTTAAAACCTATAAGGGGCTGCACTGTAACCTATTACATCACACATCCCAGCCAATCAAGTCAGAAAAATGTCACCAGACCACTCCTGCTTCATCAGTTCTCCTCTATGCCAGCCTTCACACAGTCCCAGCCTCACCAAGGACCCACACGGAACAGAACTGCCATGTACATATGCTCAGCCTTTCCAAAGGTGTTTAATTTGACTGTTCTCCTCCAGCAGTGAGTTTTCTAATTCCTTTTTTATTACTCCTTGCAGCATGGTACGCTCCGCTGTTGGCAGGTTGACAACAGCTGATACACTGCAGCTCGTAGCTTTTTTCCCCCTAGTGCATCTGTGTTTATAGATAGCCTGGCCATTCCTTCGTGTAAAAATCTTACAAAGGCATCAAAAGGTAATCCTTAAGCTATACTTTACAGTCCTTAAATACCAACCATATATATTAAAAGCAGAAAGGATTGAGACTAGCTTTTTAATTTGAGTCCTCCAAAATTCACTGAAAGCTTAGAACTTAAACACTCATCATTCTACCATATTAGAAAGGGCAATTAAAAGAAAATGTACAGACAGAATTTTTTCCTCTATCAAGCATGCCAAACTTAAAAACGAGATTTCATAGAACAATGAAAATTCCGCATTTTACTGTAGAAATGAAGATGCCTACTGTTTGCAGAAATAATAAACATAATTGTCAACATTCCTTATTAATGATAATTTTAATGTAACTAACATAACTGGGAAAAAATGCTTCTTTCAAAAAGAAGACATGTGTCAGAATGCAGAGTTGAAGAACAGTGATCTTTCCAAAGTATTCCACTGATGAATCCATCTTCAGTGCAAGCTGCTTGAAGGGGAGGGTGAGGTAATCTTTTTTCCCCCTTCTAGATCAAATGCCTCACTCAAATATTCCTCTTTAGCAGTATTTAAAGAAATCAATTTTCCTACAAATCTAATAATTTTGGTTCTTAAAAAACCATTCTGCATATAAGTCTGTCACCCTTACTGGAGCCTAATGGACATTCCCACTGTGACCCAATCACTTTTGACATTTACAATATGTGTGTGTGTGTGTGTGTGTGTGAGGGAAACCTTCTTACAATGTAAACGTGGCTCATTTAAAAAAAAAAAAAAACTATAGCAGGGCTTTGTGATCTATGTACATATGTATGTCACATATTTCTGTGAAAATTTAAAGAACACAGAAGCCCTTACAATTTAGGTTTAGACTTTCTATCAAATTTGGAATTATAAAACATATTAAAAAGCAAACCAAGGCACTGTATTCTCTGGGCACTGTTCACTTGGGTCCCCTACTTCGTGTTCCCCTATTGAAGAAGGCAGGCTCAACCTATTCCCTTCTACTTTTTCCCACTCAGCACTTCACTATTTGCCTAAGCATTTAGGTAAACTCAAATTCAAGTAAAAATGGCCAAAAAAGATTAAAAAAAAAAAAATGGTTGTGGTAGGATATGTCCTTGGGTAGGATTCAGGGGAAAAAAATTATAGTTTAATAAAATGTTGACCCTCCCTCAAAAGTAAGGAGAGAAGTCCTCTGAGCACTGTGACCATGTAAGTCAGCCTAGAGGGCCACCCCCATGAATTTGGAAACACTTGGTGCAAGCCTTTTGGGTCCCTAGATCCCAGATAGCAAATGAAACCCAGCAGCAGGGAAGGGAGACAGGTGATTTTCCGTGGTCTATGTACACCCTGTACTGCCAACAACTTCCAGCTGATCACCTTGTAATTACCTCCTTCGGAACTTCCAACCTAAACCCCATCTTTCCCCCCTACTGTCCCCCTGCAGGACAGTAGGGCAGCGTCTCTCCTAATCTTCCATCTGCTTTCCTCAGGCAGCGCTTTGCATGAACACGCACACTCCAAGCACGCACACCCACCCTGAGACAAATTACAGAGAGGAACCATTCGCAGATACAAAGCCACAGTGCAGAGAAGTGCACAAATGAAAGGCAACTTACTTTGCAGGTTATGCATTTCAACGGTTACCCTTTGAAATGCCTGTATCCAACAATGAAAAAAAAAAAATCCAAAAAGCTGTTCTTCCACCCAGTGGGCCAAGCCCGGGTGTCTCCCCCCTCCTGCTCCAGGCGGGCAGTGCTCGAGCCCGGTGCTGCGAGTACGCGCAGAGGTGGGGGCGCGCGGACCCTCTGTTCACACCGCCGGCTGGGCTGCGTTGCAACGCCTGTCCCTCCGCCCGGCGCCCCGCCCGCCCGCCCGCCGGGCCCAGCGAGTCCGGCCCCAGCAGCTCTTCCCCGCAGCCCGCTCACCGCCCGCTCCCCATTGAGAAGCCAACTGGATCGCGCTACTGTACAGGGGAGGGAAAGAGCCCAGGCGCTCGCAAGTCTCTCTCAGATAAAGATCGCAGCTTCATGATTAACTTGGGCAGGTTCAAATATTTGCTGAGCTAGGGATTTCAGGAGGGGGAGGGGAGCCAAAGTCAAAGTTGTCATGGGCTGACAAGTGGCCAATGCAAGACTAACTTGCTCATTTTCACCGAGGAAATGAGAAGACCATTGTAAGGGGGCTGAAAATAGTCTAAAAGGCTGTGGCGGAGCTCACTGGCTGGCTGACTCCCGGGGCTCAAGTAGCCGACAGTGAAGCAAGGCACTATGCACAGCCAAACACAGGAAGTGGCTGAGCTAGTTCAGCAAAAAATAGAATCAAAGCCTCGCTTGTAAAGGCCTGAACCTCTCACCACAGCCCAGAACACAGAGCCTTGCTCCTGTCCACCTCCTCCCCCACACTTGCACAAACTGCCCCACAGGTGTAACAGGAAAGCCCTTCTAGAGCATCTCAGGCTGGGAGCATATCACTCAGTTGCTCACAGTAGTGGGAGGGTATCCTCAGGAAGACTACTTAGAACCCCACAGCATGCCATACTTCATGACCACGAGGCATTAAGAAGAAGAAGAAAAAAAAAAATACTGTGGCTATTTTTATGAGATCAACTTCGTCTGATGTTTAAACAGCCATAAGATTTTCTAATAATTAAATGGTGTGCCTGCATTAGGTTTCTGTGCTGGCTACATGGGGCAAAGGGAGAAGGGCAGAAAAGGGCATACCTTTCTAGTGGATTTTCGTCCTTTATTTGGCAATGAACCAGACTTAGCAGTGCAGGCTACTCTTTAAAGAATTAAATGTTTTTTTTCCCCCCTACAAAAATTTCCTGTTGCATCAACATAGATGGTTCTAATGTTATCCTGGAAACTGTATTACAATGCAAAAATCACAGAATCACCAGGCTTTAAAATCGGAGAGTAATTTAGATTATCACTTCAAATAATTCCTTGCATGGTACAGTAAAAATAACCCATACTTCTAATGTTTGGCCGTAAACTCTTTTCTTTGCCCACAGCCCCAGTTCCT